TATATATAACATTACACTTCAAAATTTTGGGGTCTGCAATTTTTTTGTATATGAAAAGTATCGTCTGCTCACCAAGGCTGCATTTATTTGATCAAAAATACAGTAAAACTAATATTTTAAAGTATTACAATTTAAAAATAACTGTTTTATGTTTATATTTATTTTAAAATGCAATTTATTCCTGTGATGCAAAGCTCAGTACTCCAGTCTTCAATTCTTCAGAAATCATTCAAATATGCTGATTTGCTGCTCAAGAAACATCTCTTATTATTATTATTATTATTATTATTAATGCTGAAAACAGTTGTGCTGCCTAATATGTTTATGGAAACAGTGATACATTTTTCAGGATTCTTTGATAAATAGAACGTTCAAAAGAACAACATTTATTTGAAATAGAAGACTTTGTAACATTATACATGTCTGTTTTTGATCAATTAAATGCGTCTTTGCTGAATAAAAGTATTCATATCTTTTTAAATAATATTACCAGTTAAAACTCTATTTTCTTAATATTTTGCTGTTGATACAGAAGGCTTTTTGTAACTCTGAGTTGCTTGTTTTTCCTCAGGCTGAAGAAGGCTTGCATTGGCTACGAGCACATGTTTGAGGAAGTCCCCATCGTCATCAAGAACTCTCATCTCATAAATGTGCTCCTGTTGGATCTGCAAGAGAAGAGTACGGTGGCTGACAAGCACGAGCTGCTCAATCTGTCAAGCAGGTCAGAATCACCCCTGCCCTGACCTCTGTGTCCAAAAGATTTGTCATTCGCTGATTCATCTCGTCAATCTGTGTCTTTTCAGCCTCTCTTCCTCGGCTCTGTTTTGCCCAGGAAGTTGACCGAGGAAATGCAATACACGCTGACAAGCCCTGACGGCACAGTTTAATCTTGACTCTCCAAATAGGTCTCGCGTGTTGCCTGAACCAAACCGTTATAATACCAGCCTTCTGGGAGCAGAGAAATGCTGCAAACAGTGATTTTTATTCCATTTGAATTCAGTTGCTTTCAGGCAAATACAAATACAAACATCACACCTCAGATTTAGATATGTCTTTTTAGAGTTAGGGGGTGTGCCCGAATCGTGAATCCTTATAAGGGAAAACACGATTCCTAACACCGTGTCTACCCCGGACGCGAGCGGCGCGACAATGTACTATAGAACCACTGATCTATAATAGAGATTTATTATATATAGATCAGTCTATAGAACTCATTATAATCAGTGATGCTGTCTACACTGGATGCGGCGCGAAACGACAAATCTCCGACAGTAAACTGATGCCGCGTTCTATTTATGACGTGTTGACACAAATTTCAAATGATTTTCAACGGTCGCTTTGTCGCGTCCAGTGTAGACAGACTTTATCTGATGCGGCGCGGCGCGACAACTGTCGCGTCCGGTGTAGACACAGTGTAACGGTTGCCTGTTACATCCTACAGTACATAAAATTTCACTTACCACATAAACAGAGTAAGGAGAGATGACTGAGGATGATGGCGAATGATTTGCAGATTCTCAGTACCACTGACAAACATATAATCTTGTAAAATGTGTGGCAAATACTGCCGTTCCATAGTATAAACAGAGTATGTGCGATCGCGAATCTCGAAAGTGAAAGTGAAACTAAAAGCGATCGTGCATTCAAAAGCATGATGCCAGTTTCAATGCCAGGTATAATAGCGGCTCCCTGATGCCGAAATATATATGTAGTATAATTACCCAATTATATAACTGCGAGGAAAAATATTGAAATATATATTTTCCTCCCATCTCGTATTTATTCCCTTTAGGGGTTCCGCCTACACGTCATTTTCTTTCCAAACACGGTATTGGGATGCGGGGGGGGGGTCACGATCGTCTATCGGCCCAACCCTAGCTGGAGCTGGACGTTTTATTCTCCTGCAAATAGTCTTCTCGTCTAAATTAATTTGACTAATCCAGTTAGATTCAACGGAATTTTATTACAGATTGAGTCGAGTCCGTTTCCAGGAGAGCAGTTCCCAGAAATGAGCCTCATTACGTTCAGAATTAATTTTCTTTTCTTTTCTTTTTCTTTCTTTTTTTTATTTTTTTTATTGAACTAATATGACCAGTAAGTTTCAAGGACAGTATATTAAACATGTTGAATTTAGAGGAAAGATTAGAGTCTATAACAGAGACATATTCTACAGCATTTAAATTTTTTTTTTCTCTTTGAAGTCCAGGGTTTCTTGCATTAAAAATGTTGTAGTTTAGTTTAGCTTGAATATTTTCCACCCTCACTATGGCTCAGACTGTTTTGCAACTGTACCTTTAAGACTTCTGTATGTAAGTTATACCACTTCAATAGTAAATGATCCTTGTTGTGATAGTCTGACAAATTTGCATTGGAAAATAAGTAATGTTCCTGTTAGGTTGCTGAAAACCGAGTCGGCCATTAAATAGTGGTTGTGACTTCATTCTGAAACTCTGACGATTTAAGATTGTTTGATGTAATTTCATTCTGAACTGGTTCAAACTGTCAGTTTCAGTCATTTTTTCAATTAATTAATTTCTCAAAAACATTAATAGAAGTCATGTAAAACAAAAAATAGATGTAGATAAGTGCTGTTGTTGTTTTTTTGCTTGTTATATTAGTGCATATAAATTAAAAATGAAACCGTTTGGAAACAGTACGATTTTTTTTTAAGAGAAATTAATGTTTTTATTTAGCAAGGATGCATTAAATTGGTCAAAGGTTAGATTTATAATGTTACAAAAGAGTTTAAACAGTTATTTAAGAATTGAAACCGTAGTGTTTTCTTGCACATTTACTGGGGAAAAAAATGGTGTGGAAAACATGCCTTGATTATTTTTAAACTAGATTTGAACAGAAGTTTAGTTTGTGTCTTAGACATATTGAGGCTACAATGGCTGTTTGGTTCTTCTGATTGAAAAGAAATCACCCTTTCAAGCCTTTTCGGAGCATTAAAGATAAATA